CACACACACACACACACACACACACACACACACACACACACACACACACGGGCAGTGCAGACAACACACCAAATAATAATAATAACAGTCAGAGTCCCCACTGCCCACGGACCCCGAGTCCCCAGAGCCGGGTCCGTGACAGATATGTGTGAGGTGTGTTAGAATAACTGAAGTATTTCACCGTATAGGTTTTTTGTAGCTGGGCCGTGTCGGGGGGAAGTCTTTTATTGGCGGTGGTATGACCGGCATCTATTTAAGGAGGTTTTTTTGAGAGGCTGGGTTGTTCGTCTTTAGATGTGTCGCTGTTGAGAGTGTTAAACCTCTGTATTTGTTTAAGACAAACATATTCAGAGCTCTGAAAGGCGTTTGAAGGCTCGTGTGGTTGTTTTCTCCCATCTGGTCCCCTTCACATTACCTTGCGACCGTTACAGCACCATTCTTAGGAGCTGTGACAGACTCTGAAATCACAAAAACAGACAGGCCTGGAGCTCATGGTGACTGGTGTGTAGCATTGCCAGTGAATGACAATCCAGTTAAGTCCAAGATAGACAGAGAATTTCTCACAATCACTCTCAGACGGAAGAAGTAGTCATTCGGGTGACGTGCGTCATTTTCCCAAAGCCTCCTGAGAAGAAATGTCAATAAGAAAATAGAACATGTCACAAAAGCACCGATAGAAGTTAGTGAGACCCCTGCAGCTGTTTGAGGCTAGTTGGTTGCAGCCACTGAGCAACAGCTTGAACCTTCTGCGAATCCATGGGTAAACCATAGGAGAGTGTGGCAGGGGGGTGGTCTCTGGCCTGCTGGCAGTGGAGGGGTGGCGTGGTGAGACCAGTGACTCTCTTCTTATGTATAGTGTTGGCAGAAACTGGCGGGGAAGTGTGTGCAGTGGAGGACGCTGCGAGACGAGCAGACTCCTGGCTCGAGTTGTGCCTAAAAGAGCTGTTGAACAAAATAAAGGAACCCAAATGCACTGTCGGTCCGATCATTGCCACAAAGAGTTAATGAAGCCGAAGAAGGGGGTGGAGCTTTGATGGCGGGCACATTTCTCCAGCTCACAGACTAGCTGGTGTTCGAACTGTCTGTTAAGCACCACCCTAAGATGACTAACATGGTCTTCTTGGGACCAGAGTAGATCCAAATATGCCAACGGCCACCAGCCTAGCATGTCACGAAAGACATTGTTAATCAGATGTTGCAAGACAGCAGGGTATTAAATCCAGTTCTTTGTATTCTTTACGGCAAAGAAAGACACGGCTCAAAGTGGTCAAAGCTCAAAAAACGATCTTTAATTTGACATATTCCAGAATACGGAGACTGTTTTCACCCCCTCTACGGCTAACATATATCCAGTCTTAACACTATTCTTGGGCAATTTAAATAACATAGAAATCCTGCAAACTATTCCTAAAGTCCTTCTCATTACTCTTCATTACTTTTATGCTCACATTTAACGTGTGTCCAACGAGCTTTTAGTCTCCTAAGCAACATTTCCTGGAGCTGTGGTTCTCTGTGCTTCTTGTGAGTTCGCCTTTCTGATGGTTGGTTTCTGGATTCTCACCAACCTCTCTGTGGTTTCGCTCTGGTTCTGGAATCTTCTCCTGTAAAGTCAGAAAACAAAACGCCTCCCTCTGCTACGCCTCAATAATCTACTGTGTTCATCTAATTATTCAAAGTTGGTTCAAAATATCCCGTTCTGGGCTCTATCCTTTATATTAACTTTACTTAATCTCAATGCTCTTTATGTGTGTGAGCAACACTTTTAATTGTATTAAACCCACCCAGGGTCAGATATACACCATCACCATATCAGCATAAATCTCCACTAGAAAGCACACTCCAAAATTTTTGTCTATCAGGGTTTACGCCCCTTTTTGCTTCAAGCAGATACATAACGTGCAAAAGTTACAGCTAATGACAGTTAGACAAGTTTCCGTTATCTGCAACATTTTGTTTCAGCCGTCGCACCCCAACACGTTTCCTGTTGACTTATTCATGGCTTATCTTTAACATCTTCTGCATCACTAGTTGCTAAGCAAAGACAAAGCAAGACGTGTTCCACCTTTACCCTAGAAAATAAATCTATGTGATGTTTGTGTATGTAAGCCTGTTATGCATCCATTCACTACACTCCACGCCATCCCTGCAGCATATCAGTTCAGACGGTCACGCTGAACGAAGCTTTTGACCTTCTTAGGGCTGAGTTACAACTCATATGAGCACGATTGCAATATGTGTGTAAAACATCATTTATATACTCTTCAATGTTTAACCTTTGCCACCCTCATAAGAAATAGGTGTTTCCTGTTTTTGGCTCGCTCCTCTCTTATCCGTTCATGGACTACAGTTCAGCATTCAGCACAATAATTCCCTCAAAGCTTTTCACATGAAGGATCTAGGACTCAGCTCATCACTGTGTCAGTGGATCCTCGACTTCCTCACAGACGGACTGTAAGGGTGGGAGAACAAGTCTCCCCCTCCATCTCACTCAGCACTGGAGTGCCTCAGGGCTGTGTTTTAAGCCCCCTGCTGTACTCACTGTACACTTATGACTGTGTAGCCACATCAGACACCACCTCCATTGTCAAGTTTGCTGACGACACCGTTGTGGTGTGCCTGGTCTCTGACACCACCGAGAAGGCCGACCTGGAGGAGATGAGGATCCTGAAGAACTGGTGCCAGGAGAACAACCTCCTCCTAAACATCAGCAGAGCTGATCGTGGACTTCGCTACAAAACAGGTGAGTCCCTAATCATCAGTGGCGCACCAGTGGAGAGACTGGACAGCTTCCAGTACCTGGGTGTCCACATCACTCAGGACCTGTCATGGTCCTGTCACATTAAGAAAACCTGTCAGCGTCTCGGTACATATAGGGGGTCATAGGGGTGAGCGGGGGTAGGTTAGAGTATATCTCCGAACCTCGGAGAGATCATGGAAGACTTGAGGAATCTTCTCCAGATCAATGGGCTCTGAAGGGGGTAGTTTTGCGGGATCCATTCTGGTCTCAGGGTTGAAACAGCTTTGCAAACAGCGGGGACCCCAGCCAGGATCTGACACGATGACCAGGAGATATGGGGGTTGTGCCGACAGAACCAGGGATAGCCCAGGATGGGCGTGCGTATGGGCTGCGTTTGGTACTGGAGCGGGTAGGGTTGAAGGGGGGTCGACTGAGGCTAATGGGATATGAAGTTGAGAAGCGAGATTCTGAAGTTTTAAAAGTAGAGATAGTGTCTGTCTCCTGAATCCAAACTGGAAGCTGGTTCCACAGAAGAGGGGCCTGAAAACTGAAGGCTCTCCCTCCCATTCTACTTT